CAGGCTTGCCCTTTGGACCCTCGTGAAGAAACGGACATGATTCCCCCCTGTTGCACGTGCCCTTTGGCCAGAAGAGGCAAGGAACTGTTGCCTTAGGACTATCCTTTGGATTTGCCTTAGGCTTGTCTTGTGAGTCCTTCTTACCTTCACCTTTGCCTTTTCCTTTCTTGTCACCAGCCTTTGGCTGCTGTCCACCTTTACCACCCGAATCTGTTGGAACCTCGACCTTTGGCTTCGGAACCTCCTTGGCTCTTGCCTTTGGCTTCGCCTTCGGGATTGGCAATCCTTTGGATTCATCTTGACCATTTGAACCTGATGCCTGAGATCCTTGTGCAACAGTGGCCTTCGGAGTAGCCTTTGGCTTGGTCCTATCCATCAACGATGCACGAATCGACTCTTCATTCTGATCCTCTCGAACCTCGACGAGTGCGGACTTTAGCTTACCCGTGAGCCACTCCCAGGACCGAACATGCGAGTTCTCTCTCGAGTCACGAATCCGATCGATGTGTCGTTGAAGCAACTTGCATCGCTTCAACCTCGAGTATAGCCAAGTGAACTTGGTGGTCTCGGTCGGCTGGTAACCCTGGGGTATGCCATTGAGCACATACTCAATCCGCTCTACAAACTTCTCAAGATCCTTTGGGGTGTAACCCTCCAGTGTGAGATCCAAAAGAGTTTGTTGCGTCAAGTTTGCTCCTCTATTGAGATCTAGTCGGAAATGCTGGCTAATCATGCCAAGGAATGCACGACCTCTCGGCGCTTTGCACGCCAGTTGGCAAGATTCGGCATATGTCTGAAATCTCATGCCGAGCTCTCCACGCAAATGCTTTGTATCCATCATCAATGAACTCAAATGCGTGTCTAACCGTGGCAGCAAACCGCTGTCCAGGAAGTCTTGGGGTTCTTTCCCTTCCACAAAACTTTCAAGAAGCCAACTTAGAATTACCTCCCTCCCAGTCATGTCGATGGCAGCGACTCGAGTCAATAGAGTGTTTTTCCAAGCCCGAAAATCTGCAGCCGATGTTGGGATATAATCTATTTTGATGAGAGATAAGTCCTTCGACCGATATACATCCTTTTCAGTGATGAAACCCAAAACATTCGATCCTACTCCAATGCTCTGACCTAAACCATGTGGCGAATCGGGCACTGAAGGACCACTGCCACCCCCTCCGGGACCCCCTCCTGGTGGCCCATTTGGCCAACCACCATCCTCCGTGTCGCTGCTCGACCCCCCTGATGACGGAGGTCCTGTTGGCTTGACGGGTGGAGTTGTCGTGGAGACGGAAAACCATGGGATGTTCCCTGATCCTGACCCTGACCCTGGTGTTTTAAACCCTTGGTTGAACACTTGGGACCTTGGTTCACGGACCCTGGATGCAGGTGGTGATGTTGTCATCCTTGGATCGAAACCGGCACATGCTGAACAAGCATATTCAGTAGCTTCATAGGCTTCACCCTGACCATACATAGGAACGGGAGGCGGAGCAATTGGAAAATGCAATCTCGATTCACCTTTCTTTGGACTGACTGCCTCTTTGACATCTTTCCTGAGGTCGTGAATCGTTGCCATCACTTCGGCAATGTCAACACCCGTGCCATTTTGGGATTGTTGCTGCATCATCTCATTCGAACGCCGGAGATTGGTCACCTCTTCTTGCAACACTTTGATTGTTTTGTGCAGTTCCCGTTGCTCAACCCTTTGTTCATCCAACTGCCTACTCTGAATCGACAACTGTGTCATCAACTGATTGATCTGCTGTTGGGATTGGAGATAAGCTTCTTGGGCAGTATCCTGAAGTTCCAAAATCTCGGCTTGATGTTTCAATTGCATTTGATGAATCACCTCACTAGCTTGGGATTCCAACTGACTTACCCTCGAGTTGGCATGATCTATGGCTATCTGTGCATTGGTCTGGTTCTCCCGGACGGCTGCACTGGCTTCCGACTGAACCGCACTCACCATTTGTTGAGCCTGGGATTCAACGGATTGAACATGTGTTAATGCTTGAACTTCGACTGCATGAACATGTTCCCTAGCCTGTTGTTCAAGTGCATGGACCTGTGACTGTGCAGTGCTTTGCAACTGCAGCACCTGGGACGGATCAACACCGACATGAACATTCAAAGTTCTTTGATCAAAGATGCTCTGGTGATGCTGAAATTCAACCTTTGGTTCCGACCCTGGGCCACGATGGGAATGTTCCGAACCGCTTACACTCGAAGCACGATGACTTTCGTATCGAACTCTGCTGATCTGCCAACACCCCCTGAAACCGATTCCGATGAGTAGGCTGTACGGGGGGCAATGACTTCTGTGAACTTGCACTAGACGATCGACTACCCTTCGTGGAGGTTTTCCTCACTTGCATGGCTCTACTCTGGACAGGCTCTGGGGATGTGCTCGAAATTTGCAGTGATGATGACTCGGCTGAAACCTCCATTCCTGTTGGATCATTTGGCATGATTTCTGATACCTGTGGCATGTCAATCGGGAACACGAGCAAAAATGCTACACTACAACAGTTGCTTTACAAGTGAAGTATGGTTCGCACAGACTGACCCTTGGATGATCCCACTTTTGGCGCGCGAAGCGGACTGGGATTCACCTTGCAATGCGGTGTCCCTCGAAGGGAACGGCCACGTTCTCGTTTGTGATTTAGTTGATGGACTCTTGATGCAAATATGATTGTGAAATCGATGGGACTGCCGCAGCTCAAGTCAAATTGTTTGAACAATGTTTCAAGCTGGCTTCAACCACAAATTCCACAAATCACAAACCTAATAGAGAGCGCACACCAACTAGCGTCGATGAAATCCGGCCTGAGCAGCCTTTTCCTGCTCCAGTGCCTCTGCCACGCGATCAACGTTCTTGAATGACTTCACACCTTCCGGCCGAGGCTTGCGAGGTACCTGGATGTGAGCGATCCCTATGTCTCGATTCCAGTACCTCTTGAACTCAACACAGATCTCCTTCTTGTCGTCCACGTGGATGATCGACCTGTCTCTCCCAACAGTGAAGATCCTCGCGAGACTGTCTGCCTTTCCACCCTGACCAGTCGGTTCTCGAGTGATCAAGATGTAGCGGACGGGAAGTGTCCGTGAAGAATTCAACACGCAATCTCTTCTCCAGTTCAAATGCACGTATGAAGTCACCAATGTGCTGAACCCCAATCGGTTCAGTCTGTCAATCGCTGCTCGGGACTTAGCCGGAACACCGTTCTCTTCCGCAGTCGGATATGTCACGTAGCTCCCCTCACGAAATGTGTCCAACACCTGGTGAAAGTCTAATGACACTGCAGTGCCTCCAAGATCAATGCGGCTCGCCGGACGAATCCTCTGACCCTGTGCACTGTACAACTCGACCCTGTTCGCGTCAAGATAGTGCCAATCAATCGGTTCAGTGTCACGGACTACAATCGGGAATACAGAAAATACCTCTGGAACTGCGCTCACCTCTGGTGTTGTCTGTAATGCTGCTGCTGCACGCACCTTTGGTGTTGTCTGCAACACTACTGGCGGTATTGCCTTCTGGGGTAAACTACCCTTTGAAGTTGTCTTCAACACTGGCTTTGCCTTCTTAGGCGGATCCGGAAGAACACTCGGGGCGGAATGCAAGTTCTGTGACAACCGAGAAAAAACTGGCCTTGATCCTATCGCCTTTGGCAACGCAAGCAATGTCTCCGCCGGCCTATCGGTCACTGAAGATGCAATGGGCACCGGAACAACTGAAGAAGACTCTGAAGCTCCCTGTGGAACGAGAGGTCCCTCAAAGTCCTGCTCCAACTCTTGTTCGTCCTCCGACAGTGGCTGATAGACGCTCTCAGCACAATGGCTTTCAAGATCGTCGGCGTCCTCCACTCGAGGGAGAATTGGTTCGGATCGCAAAGGCAACTTGTTCTCCTCCTTCGCCAATCTGAAAGTCTCCTGAGCCTGATTCAATCGCCTGATATACTTTCTATCTCCGTTTGATGCAGCAACACCGATCTGCACAAGATGAATGTAATATTCAAGGATTGTCAAGACCAACGACTTGCGGCGTCTCTGGAAATCTTTTCCTGCTCGCTTCTCAGCTTTGACCTTCTTGTACCGATCTAAAGCTTCGTTGAGCCGCCTGCCAACGTCTTGAAGCGGTGTGCCAGCGGCGACAGCAGGGGATCGAGAGCGAGCTCGCATTCAACGCCGAACAGCGAACGAGGTAGCGTGCAGTGAAACAAGAGTAGCTAACTCCTTTGATCCAATGCAACGAATACGACTTGCTTCTTTCAATGAGTGAGCTTAAGATCACACCAATGCAAACCTTTGGATGCAGCACCAGGGATCGGCAAAATGCACCGATTAAGCTCCTTACTGGATGAGTTCTGCACTTTAATTGATCTTCGAACCTAAACTAGTGAAGGCTATCTTACGATGCGATCGAACTAGTCTCTTCCAATATGGATTTAACTCGGATCCTATCCTACGAAGTGGTGTTGCTGAAGAAGCAACGCCCCACGGCCCGAAATGCAGTCCTTGGATCTGACGCTCGGCTTTCTGTTGACGGCAGCCTGACGAACGGATGGATGCCGAAATCACACTACGTGCTTATCCCAAGAAGGACCCTTTCAACTCGATGTTGGATCCAGGTATTGAGACTCACAAGCAGTGGCGGGGTTGCCACAGGAAAGCTGGCTCAAGGCTATCCTATGACGAATATGAAAATGCAATAGCTGAGGCTGTTAACCAGTTAAACTCACCAACCACAGCCAAAGTTGGTAGTTTAGTAGCAACGGCAAGCACCACGCGCAAACGCCTTTTTCCGCAGTGCTTGAGCCAAATACAAAGTCGCGTATGCAAAATGATGAGTGACACATGATGCATGAGAAGACGTCAAGGAATGCTATGCTCTATACATGCTTTCCATCAACTCACTTAAGCCATTTTTTTAACAATTAGCACTCAGACTCAAAGTTTGGGATTCCTTATCATTATATAAACAGTCTGCAGGTCTATATCCGGTGTCAACCACCATCGCGTCGTTTCCATCGCCAGACCTGCTCCAAGATCGCCTCCACCATCTTCCGTGACGGGGCATAATCCCAGGCCACGCTCACAGCCACCGGCTGGACACCCGTTGCCGCCTTCACAGCACCTTTCAACTTCTCCTGGATCAACGAAGCTACGCAAAGCTGGTTGCAAAGTTATACCATTCAAAACTAAAACCAAAACAACCTCCAAGTCTGACATGCTTGCTCAGCTTTGCTCTCTAATCCATTCGCCAGTCCTTCCCCAACCTCACCACAAGGATGGCCCTCCCCGCGACACCTTCCTTTTTGGGGCTCCGAAGAACGCTGCCCACACGGGTGCCTCCACCGGCTCATGCCCGCCCAAGCTCGGGAGCCCCTCCAGCTTGGCGGCGAAGCTCGCCATGGTGGCCTGAGAGATCGAGGGCCCCCCAACAGACAGACCGAAACCAAGGCCGGAACCAAGCGGACCATGGGTCCTCCTCCTCAGGTTTAGAACAGGTCTAGAAAAGCTTTCTGATACCAAGATTACCAAGATCGTTTCTGAGGAAAAATTGGGGGAGGGCCATCCAAACACTTTGAGGGTTCAAAAAATGTGCGCTGATTGCGCTGTGCTCCACTTCTTCATCCCAATATCAAGATCCTCTGCTGGCCCCACCGGCTCGCTCAAAAGTTTCACCAGGAGATGGGTGTGGATTTTTAAGAGGGAGACACCCTGCCCCAATGGGTAGGCCTATTTCCCTTCTGAAAAGAGGATCGTTGCCTGTGAGCTACACACCCATACGGAGACCCTCTGTCCTCAGGGAAACGGTTGATCCTGTAAGCATCGACTTGGAGTCACACTCCAAGTGCTCAGGTAGCTCATACCTCCCCAACTCATGTCAAAATCACAGGAAACTTGGCATCTCATCTCCAATCACGGCAACCAATGCCTTGTCCGGGCAATCGCCAGGTCACATGCTCCACATCAGCTCGAGCAAAGAGCTTCGTTTGCTGCACTGCGTAGAAGATGGCACCACCGAAGGAGAAGATGTAGGCGAAGCAAAGCCAGGACACCTCGTGCCAAAGCGAAACAAACGATTTGCCAGCGCCAGTGGCTGCGCACTTGCCCTCTTCAGTGCACCACCGTGGCCCGTGTGGCCCGAGGGTGTCATGTTTTACTCGTCACCCTTTTTTGAACGTTTGGCTTTTGCAGTCCAACACAAGGCTGTTGGCTTCGTCACTGCACAGACTCCATCCATCCATGTGATTCCATGTCAGTCTCTGCGGGACAGCATCTCCACCTGCTGGTGAGAATACAACGTTTGACTCTAGCTGCCAGCTGCCAGCTGTGCATCGTTTCACGCCACATGATGCGACGTCCTCTCTGGCTGTACACCTCTTGAAGCACGTTGCTTCAAGGTTGCAGAGCAAAGTATCAGCTTTCGGAGACAGAATTTGGCTGTGAGAAACCGCTCTTATTTGTGTTGTGCTCACTCTGCTTGCCATGCTCACCCTGTTGTGCTTCATTCCGACCTTTGCAGCTTTGGAACTGTAGTGTATTTGGGGACTTGATCAGAGAAAGATGGTATAAAATGATATGACAAATTAGCATCAATCCGTGAAAGCTACCCTTCATTGAGATTGGTCAGTTTTGGGGACTCAAATCTACCTCGTCTGGTTGTGGAGGGTCCGTCTGTTGAGACAAAGCCCGATTCTGGGCATCTTGATGATCTTGCTGAATTGATTTTGAAGAAAGTTGAATCGAATGTGGCAAATTCACATCTCAGCTTTAGCCAAACATTGGTAAATCAACACTGATTTGGAAGACATTCACTCCCCGGCCTTGGTCCAAATCAGCTCCATCTGTCGGTGGTGACCCCATTCGACGATGGCACAAAGCATCTGAGGGGATTCGGCCAGTCGATTGCCCAAAATCAGCAGATCCTCGGATCACTTGAGCTCCTAAACATGCCAACATGTAGGAACAACGTTTTTATTTTTTAAGCTCGGGGGGGGGTAGGCTGTAGAGGTAGTAGCTAGGTAGCTCGTAGAAGAGGTAGCTAGTACCTTCAGTAGCTAGTAGCTTGGACACAGGATGGCTCACGCTTCTTCAAGGAAGCTCCCCCCGCCGCCCTATAGGCGGTGGGGGAAGCTTCCTTGAAGAAGCGCTCGCACTCGCACTAATGATTTGGTTTCTAGATGTTTGGGGAAACTTACTGTCATGGTCGTAGCATTCAGAGCCACGAGAAGAAACCATGCCAGGTACAGTGGGCCATTTACAAATCCGATGAAACTTAGAGAGATCCAGGAGACTTCTTGATCCCAGACTTGAAGACTGAAGAAAGATCTGCCTCTGGTATTTTGGCCAAGGATCAGAGCTCACAAAGATCACGAAGCCAAACCAGACCTCAGCACACTTTGAGGTTTGTCTCAGCTCGGTGCGCTGCCTCCAGGTCTACGGAAAGGGCTGCTTTTTGGCTACTCAAGAGAAGGAAGACTATGGCCAACTCCATCAATCTCGCCATCCCCTGGAACCCGGCTTTGGTTTGTGCTCGAGGACTCTGTAGGACTCTAGAACAAACCCGGTTCTTATGGGAGGCTCATTTGGAAGGACTCCCGATGTGAGCCTTCTGAAGAGAGGATTCCCCACTTCTACAACACTCATTCTGACTCATCCGACAAGTATGCAGATGCATCCCGGCAATCTGCGGTCGACCTCTCAACCAGGTCGACCACCTGAACAAATCGGAGCCCCATCAGCTCATCCTCCAGCCCAACATCGGCCCAGGCACGAGCAACAGTGTGATGGCCCAGATCAAGAGCGCAAACTGATAGCGGAACAGGGCCATGGTTCCAACGCCCGCGACATTGGTGCCTCGGCTCGGTCCATAGAGTCCCGAGGTCTCGACTTGGAGACGAGACGAGGCGAGCTGCAGCTGGTTGCGGCTTTCGTCGTTTTGTGTGGGCTGTTCAGGAGAAGCAAGCTGTGAGTTTTCATGCGTAGGACCTTTGATGTCAGTGTTTACATTGCAAGATGGGGTGAAGAAAGGTATTTAAGGTGCTTCCATCAGAATGCTTTCATGCCACAGGGTGGTGACACTTGAAGATCATTTATGGGATGTAAATACCCGGCACCCTCCTTTGGAGATTCCTTCGATCACCTGTCTGTCAGGACCTCCCACCTCACCGAACCTATGCACCTCACAGGCCGATTCCAAAACCACGGCGCTGAGCAGGTTCGTGGTCAAGGGATAGGCTTCTCCTGAGACCTCTGTGAGCCGCGTGCGCTCGCGGCTCTCGTAGCCCTCGGCCACACCTGGCGCCGGTGCGGCGGAACAAGGAGCGCGTATGACGCTGGATGAAGATGAACAACGATCATGCAAAAAAAGTGCCAATGAGTCAACGAAAGACACGCCCATTCCTTCAAAAAAGGGACTCGGCCCGATCAGATTTCTCATTGGATGAACCGTCCTAAAAACGTCTTGAATCCAGGATCCAGGGTGATGTATAGTCCAAGAATCTGGAAAGTAGTAAAGTAACCATGAGTCTTGGAAATGTTTCATCCAAATAAACGGACCAACTGCTGGGAGCTAAACAAGACTTCTGTCCTTCCCTGTCCTTCGCTGTCCTTCGCTCCCCGCTTCCGAGGTCTCAAAGGCGCTTTTAAACCCGCTCGCCTTCGGGGTTCACGCAGGGCTTCATGGAAATCAGCACATACCACACCTCACCATCGGCAGCCGAACAGCCTGTGGGTGGGCCAAGGTGGTGGTTCTCTTGGAATCATGGAATTATCGCGAAGCCTTCTTCCCAGGTCGTGTTCGACCTTCTTTCACAGGATCGACACCCACTTTGGGTGCATTGGCATGTGTCAGGTTGCGGATCACACAGGACCACATCCCGCAAGTTCACATGTCCATCCTTGTTTAGGGAGTATATAGGGGTCTTCGGTGATATGACTCACAACCTTGCAAACTTCGGCAGTGTTTGGCACATCTTTGAATGAATTGGAACAATCCTTACAGAGGCCAGGTCCAACGCAAGCTAGCCATCCTTTAGCAGAATACGCGGACGAGTCACGATCACAAGGATGACAGCGACCACCGAGATCACCGCCATCGCGATGAAGAAGCCCAAGCCTTTCCTGGGCCAAAAGAAATTAAAGTGAGAAGCTACTAGGAACAAGTGCCACGCTAGTAGTAACAAGTGCCTTACTAATAGTAACAAGGTTCGCTACTAGTAACAAGTGCATACGTCTTGCCACAGCTCAGGCGAGGGTGGAAGGAGACGAGGCGTGAGAGGTGTGAGACGAGGCGTGGGTGGCAAGCAGAAACCAAGCCAGTCATGAAGGTGATGAATGCTTTTGTTGACATCCAACATATTCAGTCTTCGTTTTTGTTGCCCGTGTGTGTGTGTGTGTGTCAAACTTTTAAGAGACTTTGGGGATTCACACAATGATGTGAATGACACCAAAGAAGGGGCAAACAGTGAACAGGTGCGATGCAGCAGCAATGAGGCCCCTAAAACATTGGGACCTTGCACGCCCTTACATGTTCCAAAATCAAAGGACCAACTCCAACAAATGGAAGTTGAGCAGCTACGCAAATGATCGCAAATGTATCAATCCCAGAATCGAGACTTGTTGTATCCTTCTATCTAAAGGGGCACAACTGGAGAAGATTGCAACAAGCACCTAGAACCAGCGGCTTCATTTGTTCTTTGCATATATCATACATATATTGTTTCTATATCTACAGTATATAATACTATATAACCATCCAGAGTCTGAGGCTTACTCTCCCCACGCATCGGCATGTGAGTTGCCGAGCTGCATCTGGCATTCACCCTCCTCGGTGAGCGAATAGCCCGGCATGCCTCGCTGAGCTCGCGAAGCGTCGACTGGAGCCCTCCAACTCTCTGCTCTTCTGGTGCGGCAGGTGTAGGGAGTCAAAGGTGCCGAGTCCCTAGTCGTTACATATGTATATTTATATACATATGTAAAGTATCCCCTGCGCACCTCAGTGGGTGAAACATTCTTAGTAGTCAACCACCATGAAGATGAAGAAGCAAAACAGGGCGTGGCCTCAAAGCCCCGCTCCACTTGAGGCAAGCGTGATAGGATGAAAAGCAATATCTACAAGACACGATAGCAAAGTTGTGGTCCGGAGTCCGGCGTCCCACTGCCCCACTGACCAATGGCTTGGGTGCAGGTACCCTGCGGCTCGCTGTCTGATCGGCCCCTGATTGGCCCCTGTCTGGCCCAGTGGCATTGACGGCAGTGCTCCAGTTTCTCTCCTTCGCAGCGGAAAGGGTGAATAAGACCGGTGCCACGGAGAACCAGAGAAATAGGTCATGGTCCCTGATTTGAGCAGACCGTGGCACACAAGAGAAGACATGAGCCACTCAACCGTAAATAATCCCAAAGTTCTATCTCGATTCTGGTACAGTGCTCTGAAGACGGTATCCTCAGGTCTTCTTGCCACAGAGGCTCCTACTTGCCCAGGCTTGGCGTGCGCACAATGCAAGCATCCTTCTACATTGCAATGTCGACAGACCATCAGCCTGCACCGCTGCAAAAATTTGGCTGGGCAAAGAAGATCAGTACAGTATATGAAAGCCAAATAGGTCTTACGAACGAGAATTATGATTCTGGGCAGTGTTCTAAAATATCTCTGCAAGTTTACCATTTTGTGGGTTCCCTTGGCTTTTCAAATGAGCAAAATCAACCAAGACAGCCGCTTCCAGACTTTTCACCCCCTTCCCGGTCTCTACTCATCTCCGCCTGTCATCAGGGATCGTGGCATTCTCCACTGTACCCAGCAAACCGCACTGGTTCCGCTCCACGCAGCGAAAGTGGCAAAACCTGTGGGACATCGTCACCGAAAGAAAAAGGCTCCGAGTCGTCAGATATGGTCTGGATCGCCCATCCAGGTGAAGGATCCGAGTTCTGGAGTTGGTTGAACGATCGGAGCGCGCCAGCCGCGCTGGCCGCCGGAGAGGTGTGCTGGAAGGGAAGGAAAGCTGCGCAGAGTCCCAATTTCTTGACATCAAATGCCAAAGCTCTTGAAACAAAACTGGACTCCCAGGATCCCACAAGACCCTGCAATTATCATCTTTGATGCGCCCACCCCATCATCCGATCATCCCAGTCTGCACGAGAAAACCGCCGACGCCATGGCCGTCAAGGAGCTCCTTTTTCATCTCAGCTGCATAGGGACACTTTGCTGGGCAAAGCTCCGGCCTCGCGAAGATGTCCTGGAAAGTCCGCATAGCTTGCCAAGGTGACAAAATGCGGGGCAAGAGAAGGTAGGGAGACCCATCTTAGCATGGTACAGTTTCTTCCTTCAGGAGAAGTAATAACTGGTTGCAATGATCGGTCATCTCAGTCAAGAAGAAATAAATACAGTATGAGTAGCATGAGTACCTGCTCCAAGGCAAGAAAGCAAGCTGGTCACGAACAAGAGGTGTCCAAATGGAAACTCCGTAGTTTTGCAGAAAAAGATTCCTGGGAGAACAAAGAGTTCCCTGCTGGAAAGACTGTAGAAGGGAAGAGAGCACTTTGTGGTCTGCTTGTTACAACGTGTACATACCATCATACAAGTAGGCCCAGCAGTCTCATGTTTTTGCTGAAACTAGAAGCTCTACACACAGGCGAGTCTGTGAGGTTGGGTCAAACAAGACTGCTCATGTCTCAACTTGTATGCTTCGAGTGTACAAGCCCCCTTACCAAGAACATGCAGTGCAAATCCATTGGGTCTTTTGGCATGAAGATTGCCTGCATGCTCTTGCTCTTGGCAAACAACAGATTGTGCTTCGTATATACCGTACCTTTGTAGGATGCAAGGGGGAAGCGGCTGTACTCATTTCAACATTTTAAGAGCATAACGTTTCTCTGGCCGGAGTAAGACTTTGTGTTCATGGAGCCTCTCTCTCTGACACGTCCAGCCTCTTCGCAAAGGCTCGTGTCCTTGCTCTGGACTTCCTCAGGCCTGGACTGCACAACGGCTTAATGTCTGGGAGATGTTTGGACTCAAACTTTCCTATTTCACAGATGGTTGGCCCCTGCTCACCCTGATTCATCACAGCTTGCCACAATTCATATGCATGTTCCATGCTGTTGATGGACCACCCAACACCACCGTTTTGCCACCCTTCTGCCCTTCTGCTGCCCTCTGCGGAAGATTTTCTCGCACCTCTCATCGGGGTTGTAGCCCAAGACCTTGAGCCTGGCAAAATGCCCGACAACATTCACCCGAAGCGCAACTCACCCTGGGTCATCTACTCTGTTCCTTTTCTGCAGTCAACCCGGATCCCCCACTGCCATGACCCGCGGCTATGTCTTGATCATCGATCAGGCTACACTCCAGGGACCGAAGTGACATCAGTGCGAAGAGATGCTTGTCACTGATCAGTCATTGGACATTCAAAGAGAACAATTAGCCAAAAGTCCAAAAGTCATCCTAACCTTTGCTTGTAGAGCAACTCCAATGTTTCAGACAATTACTTTACAAAAGCAATACTGTAACGAACATGCGCCGCTTGAGCCGTCGCCTCTCTCTTCCGTGTCGTGTCGTTCGGGGCACCTGAGACGCGGCCCCGGCTGTAAGTCGTTCTCCTGGCATGTCGCAGTTGGGGGTCATTCTCCCCAAAGCGGATCGATCGCCTCCTGAATACTTCATCCCTAACCATTGAGCTTGGCTGAGTGGAAATATAAAGGTCAGAAATCGAAGTCGGACAAAGTGTTGGCACTTGATTGATGGGATTTCAACTTCCGCCCACACCCTCCAGGCCAAAACTCTAGACTCTAGGCATTCCCTCAGGAATGGGCCTAAAAGGTGCAGAACAGCTGCTTGTCTATGCAGTGGCCATTGCTCCGGTTTGCTCAACAAGTGCTGGGCACTATCTACAAGTTCAAGCAGTGACTGATCAAGCATGCAGCATGCTGTCTAGACCTCAATACCAAGCACCGAGGCCAAAAAACTACACAAGTCTCGGGTTTCGGTTTAGGTGTCAATGCTCTTCTCACCACATTCACCACATGCCTCTCTCTCAGATTCACAGGACCCTTCCCCATCTCCTGTGACACGGCGGATTTGACTGCGAAGTTCTGGAGCAAACTTCTTTGCTTTTGAGGGCCTTCCAACGCCAAGTTCGCCAACGAAGCGACGGTGCGCCGGAACCACACCCCCAGAGAAACCGGTCGAGGACCCATCCACCGGGTCGGGCCCATCTGGGTCTGCACTCTCTTCGTGTATGCCAGTACAGCCAGTATCACCACATCTGAAGAGGTCACCAGAACACGATCCCACTCCCTGTGTCCGCAAAACCTTAAAATGGAACACCTCCAAAAAGAGAGACTCGCCCACTCATCTCGCACGGAAAATGAGAGGACCAGTCGCACGGAAAGAGCCGTGGCCCATTTCCAGTGACTCGGTGTAGTCTTTCCAATCCAAGGGTACCATGTGTGACTGGTAGTTGTGCTGAGATGTCTCCCATTAGCGCCGCACGTCTCCCACCTCCGTCGAGATCACAGGCCTCCTCACCTGGCAGGACGCAAACCGCCCATCTCGCCCGGCCCGCGCGTCCAAGAGGGGTGCTCCATGTCCAGCGAAGGTGGAAGAATTCAATAGCTGGATCTCTAGGGAAGTTGGCAGCCTCTTGCAAGAAACCCTCGCTTGCTTCCGGCCCAAGCGCATGCTGTAGCTATGAGCAGGGGAGGAAGCAGTGTTGCTCGCCTCTGACGGCCTTCAGGAAGACGAAAAGTAACACCTCAGGCGAACAAAGCATCTCAAGCATGGATGACTCACTTTGGCAAGCGAACAGCTGGATCTGTCCTTTTGGTTGTAAGAACTCCCAGGTCCATACCGTTTGCCTTCCTATCGGACCTGCAAATACGAGGTCGGCCTCTGGAACCGCAAAATCATTTCCTCAAGCAGGTTTTAGGCTGTGCTAAACACCAGCAGTTCTCTACTTGTCTCTCGCCTTCCCATATCAACTCCACTGAAATCCAGCTTTGACTTTGCCAAGGCACGAAATGCATCGGGGCGATTCAGGCGCCCCAGCGATTGGTCGAATGATAAGGTCAAAGCGCGTTCATGCGCAGCAGGCGCGCAACAGGACGCGTCACGGGCGCAGGACTACAGCCCACGGCTTCCAGAACGGCAACTACTTGGTGATGGATGGTCAAACCACCCTTTGGCAGTCTATCAAGCAGCTCAAGCAAATGTTGACTCCTTTCCGGAACTTCTGCTACACATCAACAGGACCGGTGTGGAGCATAAACGGAAAACAGGATAGATACTGTAAACACCAGATAAGCAGGGGTCCAGTCTAGGATGGCGCGATAAGTCCTCAGCTGTTGGCAAGGCCTCCTTTTGAAGGAAGCCCCCAGTTTTAGACCCTTCAGCCCCCAAAGAATTCACGTGTGTTTGTCCCTAGCTTGCTGCTTCGGGTTATAGCTGTACTTTCGCTAGAGATTGTCTTGTTTATCTTTCAATAACTCAGTCAGAACAAACCTTAAATACCACCAAGTAGAATCAAATGGATGGACCCTCTCTTCTACTTTGGCTGCGCTGTCCATGTCTATGCTTCCGTTGCACCTTCTGCATCCTTCACAGCCGCCTGACAGTCCATCGTGAGAACGCGGCCGGCTCAATGCTGAGGACCGGGTTTCTTCCAGAAGCTGTAAGGTTTTGATAGTCCAAACGAAGCCATCAAGAATCCCTTTGAATGAATTAGCCCATCAACCATCATTGGCACAAACATGACTTGCTACAAGGGCTGGTCCGCAAAAGATCAACATCAAGCTGCTTCTTCTCAGGACGGTGATCACATCAGGTCCGGCATCCTTTACAGAGAATCAAGACTTCGACTCGATATATAAGACACGCGCAGTCAACCGATCCCCACCAGGGAGCCTCAGCAACAACCTGTATATAGGATTCAAATCCCTTCCAAACTTGTGGTTCTACAGAATGTCTCACATGAAAGATCTCTTGAAACTGAGCGCTTCCTGGATGTTGCACACAAAGGTTCTTTCCCTCAGTCAGATCTCCACCCCTTTAGGCTAATTGGAAGTACTCTGGTCTTCATTGCTTTCCTGCCCCCACAGTCGCCGGGATTTTGCAAGGAATCTGCAGAATTTGCCAAACAAAGAAACTTCAAGCTTCTTGCGATTCTGCTCCCAAAGGGCCTTGCAAGCAGCCACTTTGGCCCTGATCTCTGCCAGGACCTGACGAGGGACATCAAGCGGCATCAGCTGGAACCAGCGACGAGTGCGACGAACTGCACGAGTAGTCGAAATGTGTGGAAGTGGCACGACACCGAGGCCCTTGGTAGCATTGTGCTGATTGGATTCAATCTAAGGTGCTTGGGGTTCCAGACCACAAAGGCATTCGGGTTGAGTTCCAAAGCATTTCTCGTTCATCACTGATTCATCACTGTGCTCTGGGCAACTGCAACTTGCCTGGTCAAAATCGCCCAATTGGGAGACATGTTTCTGGCACACCATAGGTGACTAAACCACTGTGACAGGGCGGCAGTGGGTGAGATCCCGTGTTTCCTGTGCTAGGAATGAGATGAAGGAAACTACAACATGACCCACTCCTGAAGTCCTTGGAAACTCTATCTTGATCTCTATCACTCCTTTTTGTCCCTTCGCATTCGCTGGCGCTGCTTCGCCTCGTCCACGTCACGGTCCTCCAAGAGCTTCTGGACCTGAATGGACCGATGTCGGAAGCGTCGCCCCAAACCGTATTTCTTGCTCTCCTGGTTTCGGGCGAACGGGAAAAAAAAACATGACTGCAAAAGGTTTCACAAACAGCAACATTGCTGATGCTTGCTGTACCCTCGAACTGACGAGCTTTGGGAAGATGTGAAAAACACAATGAGGCACTATTTGGCTTGGCTACCCTTGCTTTACCTTTTTGACCAGGATCACAACCACTGTGATCTGGTACCCCTGTGAACATCCCAGGAATGATTGCTGTAGCGTATCACAGCAGCTAGATGAAAATGAAAGGATGGTGTTCTCCATTTCATGGACGGCCCTCCCCAGGAAAAACCCAAACGCCACACTCCGAAAGAGTCGCAGAATCGGCCCAACATTAGTTTCTCGCGTGTGTCGTTCTCGCGTATGTGCCACAAGTGCACATCTTTCGTCGCCGGCCTTGGATCGAAGGGTCACACCCTTCTCCTTCTTTTGCTTCGGCTCCTTCGACCAGAAGGAAAACCTCCGATCGACACCACACCTCGTGCGCGTGGCCTTCACCTCTTCGTCCTGCTTCTCAGTCACCTACATAGGCCGTAGCCGTTCCGCAAAGGGCCAGTTCACAGGACAAGCCCATTAAAGCTGCTTCAGAAGAAACTGGTGCTGTTTACAAGAAACTACAGCGGCAGTGCAGCTTCAGCTGGGTGCCTTCGCCTTTGCTTTGGCCTTGGCCTTGCTCTTGGCTTTCGCTTTCGCCTCACATGGATGTCACAGGTGCAATGGCGGGCCATATGTGCCTTTACGATCACTTCCTACATGCGGCAACATCGAAACAACCAGTTTCCATCACAAGAGGTCTGCAAAGGAAAGAAACCCGGTCCGCAACGGACATGCTCCCTGCCGTTCCTTTCTGTGGGAAGAAGTGAATCTCTCTCGTGGTACAAAACAATGGCACACTGACAAGCCCAGCGAGCAAGCCAGAACACAGGAGACCAGTTGCCTTACACGAAGCTGGCTGAAATCCGAAAAGCGGGAGAGCTTGTGATGTTTCGATGCTTCCTCACAGCTGGCTGGTCGCCAGTAGTGCACCCCCTTCAATGCGGGATTCTCCTAGCCCGAACCACATGCACAGCGATTGTAGCGCACTTCCTTCGCTGTGGTGAAAGTAAACTTACCCTTCCTGAAATAACAATGGAAGTCGAAGATAGGCCCCTGGAAGACAATTTTTCTCTGCAAGCAGGTGGTATTCCACTTCCATGTTAATGACTCAGAGAAGTAAAACCACCAAGAACCTTTACTTCACAGGACGGTCGGATGTCCATATAAGCAACAGCACCTGATTCCATCAATCCCACCGGGCCCCATGAAATTTCAAGCGTCATGGTGTGTGACTCTCAGAGAAAAACACCTCAAGGGGGCGGAAAGTCCAGCCTTCGGAGAGGCCTTCGCTTTCCCCTTTGCTTTGGCCTTCCCCTCCGAAACAAGGCAACCCCATGCAACTTTTGAGAAGTCCGCAGTTTGAGACACAGCTTGGCATCATGTGTGGCTCGAATTTGTGCAAACAGTTTTCGACTTCTTGTGAGAATGACACCGAAGCACTGCACAAATCGTGCCTTGGCCTTTGCCTTGGCCTTTCCTTTTGCCTCAGTGACTCAGTGGCTCCGGAGTTTGCATCGGTAAGTTTGCATCAAAAAACAGATGTTCATGCTTGACAAACTTTGGGAAGACTGGAAGACTACCGCACAATTCTGCCTTCGGACTCTCTGCTCCAAGCTTTCGCTTTCGATAGAATCACTCAACAGGAGTTGTGAAACCAAGAGACCGGCAATTCTAAGCGAAACGCTAGCCCTCCTGCCATCCTAAGACCGCGAGGGACCTCGGATCAATACCTAGAGGAGTCGCCCTCTGGGAAGCATACAAGCAGCTACACTTAGCCATGGATTTTTGCTCACTTCAAAAAGAAAAAGATGCGTCACCAAAAGACCTGAAGGTGTCCGTACACAGTTGGTAACCGAAGTTTAAAAACGGAAGCAGAAGCTACTCAAACGAGGCGAACCAGTGAAAGTTCAGCTCCTTCCGCCTCTTTCGGAGGCACCGATTCGACCTCGACTCCCACCGCTCCCGGTGGACCGGACCGCCTTGGCTTTCGGCTTCGGCGCTTCGACCTGCACCGGCAGAGGACCGGGTCGGGAGGAAAGGATCTTCGATGAACCACAGAACTCGTCAAGAAGACTCGTCAAGAAGACCTCACACGGTTGCCACAAGATGTGCGATTTGCTAGTTGGGCGTGGATGAAACCTCTTACATCTTTGAAGGCAAGTTACAAGTTACATAATGCACCTGCAAACTTAAGTGTGGAAGCTAAACATGGGCCATGAAAACATAGTTAGTAGGCTGTAACAACAAAACAAAAAAACACCTCCCAACAACATCGAGGTCAACAATTGTCTCCACCCACAACCCATCCTTTAGCTTTGGCCTCCTGCAAGGTGTCCTCCATCTCCTCCTGTACATGCACTGGTGCTGGTGCTCCAAGATGCTGCAAAAATCGGTTGGAAGAAACTGACAGCAACTCATGGGTTGTTTACTTGTTGGACTCTGTCAGTTACAGCATCGCCCAAAGAACGAACAGGGCCTAGGAGTAGGATGACAGTCGGTCTTAGTGAAAACACTCCTGATTTTTCATCAACGCACAAAAGGATGCACAAAAAAATGTGACTCCCCTAGCAGCTCCGATCTGCTAGTCATTGGTTGCGAATGCACACATTCTGGTGGCGACGCCTCTGCCATGATCAGGTGGAACAGCGCGGGTAAAGCGGAGAGGTGCTGATGAGCCCAAGTGGAGAAATGGGTGCCTTTGACCAAAATGCGTGTGCCCAAACAAATCAGATCAAACTGTTTTGCATGGCAGACCGATTTTTCTTTGATGTTCGACATCCCAGTCACAACTGGGAAAGGGTTGTACAAAATATCTGATAGAAGTTAGAACCCAGTCAACCAGAGCAGTGTGACCTGTTGGAAACCCAGCGGAAAGGCAGTTCCATCAAAGCTGCGAGTGATCTTGCAACCAGCTGAATGTAGACTGTTAACAGTTTTCCACCAAATCCCGTTTTTTTTGTTTCATGTGTTTTTCTCTGTCGATTCTGAGTTTTTGAACTGCTCTTGCCTTTCTTGTTGTTTCTCCTTGCATCCTTCTCGTCGCTTTCTCTCACTGAGCAGGGCCCATTCAGCTGTCCTAATCTTGTCAACTTGCCGACTAGGGGCTGTGCCATTATTGAATCTGAGAGTGAACCACCTCAAAACTAAACCCTCGCATTCGTCCCGACTGTGTC